GGCGCAGGAAAATTGGCACCCAGACTAATATCGTATGAAAACAAAACTGTCCGTTGGGTTATTTAGTCATCCAGTCAAAACTGGTACCAACAGCAACAGGTTGCCCATTCCCCTGTAATTACACATATTCTCGGGTTTATCCAGTTCCCTAGTTATAGCTTTTTTCCATGTTATCTACTGACACAATCTCTTTCCCACACAGATACGCATTTATACTATCGTAAATTTAATCCAATAAAACAAAAAACATCAATCTACTTAATATTTCAAAATGATTATTGGTAACTGAAAAAAAGTGTCCTGCTATTTTATGAAATGCTGTAATTTACAGTACAATCTGACAGGTGCGGAACTTGATTTCCCCTAAGGTCACTCAGTTCACTGATGAAGTGTAAAAAATGTATATTTCGTCATCAGAATATTTGACAAGTGTGATTAACCAATCAGGGAAACATTGTGCATGATCAAAAGGTCTGTCGGCACAGAGGCATACCAGGAGCAATAAAAATCGTCAGTACACAGTGTGACAGGGACTTTTGGTGCAAATTAGAAACAACTAAAATGGATAATGCACAGTATTAGACATAAGTAGTAAGAACCAGCAATTGTGTGAATAAATTATGCAAATTAGATTTTTGAGCAGCCAATAAAAATGTTTTGCCTGCAGTTAATATTATGCTACGATTACTATGTAAATAAATACCACGCAGGAACACTGATTGACAGACATGTTTTTTCAAAAGAGTTGCTTATATTTTTGAAATGTGTACATCAATTAAAACATATGTTCACACATTTTATTTGAAAGTCAAAATTTAATTACTATTAAGAACACGTTTTAAATAGTAGGATTTTTATAATAATGATAATCGCCGTTCAATAATTAACAGCCGATTATTCGTTGGTGCGTTTGTTTATTTAATTGCATTATTTGATTGTGAAACTTTATTAAATAATAATAATTTTTTTATGTGTATTCATCAAATCTGTGAAAAATTGTTTAATTTAAAAAGGCATCACTGGCCTGAAGTGGTGCGACCGGTTTGATTTTATTATTTGTTTCTTTATTTTTTTTTTGTATTTTTTTTTTTGATATTGTTATGTATTTTGAACAAAAACAACCTTCTCTACACCTCCTGTGAAAATTAATTTGTCTGGTCAATACTTTTTAATACATTTATATTTCGCTACAATTCTACTAGATTTATCATAAATCTAAAGATGTGGGGGAATGACATCACGCGCACGTGTTTTTAAACGGCCAATACACAAACATGTCCGCGCCTACTAATTTGTAGAAATCGGTGATTTAGCGATTTAAATTTTGTTATCGTTCCTTTAATATTATTATTTGGCGGCAAAAAATTTGCAGATTTACTATTTATAGTATTCTTTTTCTGATATCAAGTTTTTATTCTAACATTGCCTTTCCCTTTAAACTAATTTTGTAGCAATACTTCCGATAACAGCTATTCATTTTAGATCTACATTTTTATTCTATATATTGAATGTATTAAAATTTAATAACTTATTAGTCAATATACATGTATGTACGTATATCAATGGATAGAAAATACTTTTATTTCCTCCACACGGGAGAGCATAAACAATTAACATAATTGTTGTTAACCTTCGCCAAAAAATGTGTTATAATTTGCAACAGTATTTCATGAATGAATTACATTTCGAAAGGATATACATCAGAAAACAGTTCAGGACATTGCAGATAAAAGTATGTACAGCTGACTATTAACCTTATATCATGATTTTTCTAAAAACATAAGTATAGACCAGGCAATGTCAATATTGCAGGAAACAAATCCAACACATTAATTTAAACCTATAAATTACTTTAATAACCGATATTATAAAAAATGATCACATCATGGTCACATCAGTATCTGTTATATTTATAATTTCATTATGAATGAAATGATGTTTAGAAATCATCAATATCTATTTTAAAAAAGATACTGTTAACATTATCATTTTATTGCAATGGGGTGGGGCAACATATATCTGGAAAAAAAAACACTTAACAGAAGTAATTCATTGGAATTGAAGTCTTTGAATAGAAAAAAAACATGTAAAAATAGGAAAACACATTGTCATTAATCATTATTGTATGTACATGTATCAAAGTAATGAATATACAATGTAAACGCCAGTTCATGTAATGGCATCAAGTAATTCATGTTAAGTGACTCAAATTGTAATTATGCCACAATTCTTATTAACCGCTGTGTATAAAATCTACAAAATATATACTATGATTCTTTGTCGTCTCTCCATAAGGGATCTTAGTGTATTCTTTATAATGACAAATAATTTGTTTCATTATAGTATGGAACCAAAGTTTCGTTACACCTGACGATAACTGTAGTTTATGCTGTTATAGTTCAAAATGTTGTATAGTGTGTATGTTTTTTCCAGTGCATGCAAAGACGGATGTATATTTGGTCAAAGATGTGCTCGCTGCTATGAGCTTTGCGATTTTACTTGCAATTTTTGTGATCAAAAGTTTGACAAAGTTTTCCTTTGACCAAACAAAGATTTAAGACTAAGTGTCCTTCTAACCGTAAACATGTACTTTTGATACCAAGTAGCCCACTTGTAAAGAAGGATTTATCAACAAAGACGTATCTACTGATTGTAGATATTTAATTTGCCCTTAAAATTGTATTTGCAATTGCACTGAATGCATGAAGTGCAAAGCAGGGTTTTTATGAGACAAGTGATATATGCATTGATGAATTCCCCTTAAAGGTTTTTAACTGTTTCGCGTATACGGACTGTAATTATCATAAAGTAGAAGTGTAACTATGGTTATTTTAATAAATAAATATATACAACTTAAGTATTTCTAGGTTATTCTTTTTATTTAAAATTGATTATGTGTCACTGTTCACTTCAAATAAGTCTATCATAAAAGGACACAGCAGTATACAGCTTTACAGTAGAATAAGTCAGAGACCAAGTTATGGACCTGCTCACATAAACAACAATCTCTCCCATGAACTGCACAAGTGTACACCCTTCGACTGTTAAACAAAGTTACCTACAAATAGTTAAAACATTTCCACAAAAACAATCAACATGTCTTCAACAAAAGTATCGAAAGCCGCGCAATACTTGAGCGAGTAATTTTATCAACCAATCAGACTAGGAAATAAAACCAAGGTTGAAGATTACTTAATTACAATAATTAATAGGGCTTAGACCACTAAATAAGAGCCTGCCACAGGAGTTTATAACAATGATTTAATTGGATTTTTGTTTCGGATAAACAAAATAATTGGACTTTAAACCCTGACGATCATATGCTTTCATAACATAAACACATAGAGGTAATATTTAATACCCATTAATGGCTTCACACCAATGAAAAAAGTTACATTAAAGCCATCTAATGTAAATTAAAATTCTGACAGCGTTAATTATGTCAACAATATAGCGACACGAAATAAAATGTTTTGACTCATATTCCAATGACAATTTTATAGCATTTAGAAAATAAAACAAAATTTTGTGAATTCCATTACTGCAGTTTACACCGATTCCTTTTGTTGGGTCAAAAAAGGACAACTTGGTAATTTACCTAAATGAAGAATGTTATTTTTGTCAAATAGTAAAACAGTTTTTATATGAAGATTACAGTGAATGAGTTGCATTCACAATAAGTTGTATTGGTGTAAAAAGCTCGGTAAAAGGGTATCTATAATGAAATATTTATTACAAACATAAAAACAGCAAGGTAACCTAGTTTTTATAAACTTACGGTCGTTTCTCGAAAGAATTGTATATAGACAATTTTTATCATTTTAAACACATGAAGTTTGTTAGTAAAAAGAATACAATTCCATAACAAAATATCAGTTAGGCTTGAAGTTTTATTTTTTGAAGTGGCTCGCTTAGACTATTTATATATTATTGTTGCCATATGAAACCTAAATGAAAACTTTGAATGACTTCCATTACTGCAAGTTACTATATTATAAATAATTAGGCATATGAATATTGTATTGCTTCATAAAAAATCATCTCTGCCATAATTATATTTGTGTTTTATGCTTTACGCATAATGATTGGTAACTTACATATTTCCATTTGCAAATAAGTGTCAAAAATGATCGCCTCAGTGTTGTTAAATCATACAATTCATGCATAATATGATAATATGCCTAATTAAACGCATTATAATTATTCAAATATATAAACGAGTTTTTTTAACTTATTCAAATTTTACATATTTAGATATAGTTATGATCGTCTGTTTACCAACTATGCATTAACTCTACTTCCTGATTGCTGTTTTTTTTGTTATGGTATCACTGTCTTTTTTTTTCAAAACTTATATTTTGCAGTGTAAACATCGGAGCAGACGACAGAGAATCAAGGCATTCATTTTTGGAATTATTCTAACTATTGATTATAGGAAATTGAACAAGAAAAACGAAAATGAACAAAAACTGGACTACGGTTTGTTTTATTAAATAATCATTTGTATAAAATGTTTAAAATCTACGTGATTGTTTAAGGAAGTTATTATTGTGACTTATTTATCGTGACTGATTTAAGTTTCTATTGTGACTGATTAACGCCTTGTCGTATTTTTGCCTTTTCCACTCGAAATTGTCAAACTTTGTTTTCGTAATTTTGAAGTGAAATTACAAAAGAACGACAAAATCAGGCACATTTAAGTGGATAGGTCTACAATGGTCACAGTTTCCATAATCATTTTAAATATTGATAAAAGCAATAGAAATGTATCATTTGGATATTCTTATGAAATGTTGCTTGAAACAAATGTCGATAAAGGTATTTATGTTGTTATCATTTTTTAAAAAAAAGTAATCATTCAGTTTATCAGAAACCCTTATATATTATAAAACATAATCATAACTAGTTATACTCTTTTGCAGTTGGAACTTGATTTTTCTTCATACATTTTGTTTATGTAACACATATCTGCGTTTTCAAAGTACATTTTTCTGTTTCAGGTCATAGTAGTTATAGCCTGTCTTGGCAATCACGGATATTTTGTCTTTGGCAGTATGTACATTTTGATATTTTATAAGATGAAACAATATTTCATAAATGTATACGTATTACATTGTCTTAAGGATATACGTAAGACACTATTCAGGGCATTAAATATGTATAAATGATAATGTTACAGCTTAATCTAGTTCGAATAAAATGTTTCACAAGGATTACGTATATAAGAAAATACACACCTTAATTGCTTTAACGTAGTACAATAAAATCCCGGTCACAATTTTAAATATACTTTAGTCAAAAGAGAAATATTATTTGTTACATAAAGATTTTGAATATTTAATTGATATTAAGAAAAATCACTTAAACTTGAACTAAGACAAAGAATCTATACAATCACAACAAAAGAAAAATAATCGGATTACCAAATAAGTTAAGAATGTTGATTTAAACAATTCCAATATAAAGTGTTATCTGGTGGAGTCTCCCTTATTCTATCGAAACATCATAATAAGAAAAATAATTAAACTAAATGTGAAATTAACAACAATTGGGAAAAATACCAGATTAAAAACAAAATTTGTTTTGCTGAAAGACTAAACTGAAACCAATAAATGAGTTTGTTTCAAATAGAGGAACCCTGTTGAATTGGTCAATATTGTAGTTCTACCGTCTATGAGAAGGCCAAATCACGGTTTTGCAAAATTTTGCCATAAATTGCGACCTTTAAAGATTGCATATTTTATGAGCAGTTGTCTCTTTAGTGTTCCCCCGTTAAGGATTTATATAGATTCTTTCTTTCTTTCTCATCGTTATTTCGGAGTGCTCTTTATAATCAACAAATCGTTCGATTCAATTACTTACAGAACAGAACGAGAGTTGTGTTACACATGACACAAGCTGTAGTGTATGCTGTGCTAGTTCAAAATGCTTTCGAGATAGATATTTTCCAAATGTTTGTTCAGATGGATGTATAGATGGTCATAGAGGTGCTCGATGCTATCAGCTTTGTGATTTTACTTGCAAATCTTGTGATAAAAGTATAACCTACTGCGATTCATGTCATGATGGATATTTCCTGGGACAGAATAACGATTGTAAGTCTGAGTGTCCTTCCAACTGTAAAACATGTACTTCTGATACCGAGTGCAACACTTGTAAAGATGGATTTTTCCTTGGACGGAATAAAGATTGTACGTCTGAGTGTCCTTCCAACTGTAAAACATGTACTTCTGATACCGAGTGCAACACTTGTAAAGATGGATTTTTCCTTGGACGGAATAAAGATTGTACGTCTGAGTGTCCTTCCAACTGTAAAACATGTACTTCTGATACCGAGTGCAAAACTTGTAAAGATGGATTTTTCCTTGGACGGTCTAAAGATTGTAAGTCTGAGTGTCCTTCTAACTGTAAAAATTGCACTTCTGATACCATTTGCAATACATGTAAAGAAGGATTCATCAACAAAGATGCATCTACCGATTGTAGATATTTGATTTGCCCTGAAAATTGTATTTGCAGTAACACTGAATGCATTAAGTGCAAACCAGGGTTTTATGGCACAACTGATTCATGCATTAATGAATGTCCAAATAATTGTTTGAACTGTTCAAAAGATACAGACTGTAATTTTTGTAAAGATGGATTTTACAACGATGATAGTCATAAGGTATGTGTAAAAGAATGTATAAATGGTTGTATAAGCTGCACTTCGTACGAGAAATGTTTGAAATGTCAAATCGGAAAGTTTGGTAATCAATGTCAGAATGACTGTTCAACTGGTTGCACAAAAAATGTTTGTTCTATTGAAACTGGAAAATGTCATTGCTCAGCTAAATTTGATGGTGAAACTTGTTCAAATTGTAAACATGGACAATATGGAACCTTGTGTGAAAAGAAATGCCCCGTTAATTGTAAAAACAATGCATGTGGAAGAATTCTCGGAAACTGTACAGAAGGATGTAAATCAGCAACAATGTCTGGAAATTACTGCGAAAATTGTATTGCTGGAAAATATAATTCCATTTGTGAGAAAAACTGTCCTCAAAATTGTTTAAATAATATATGTTACAAAAAGAATGGTACGTGTTCCATGGGTTGTAAGGATGGTTTCTACGGACCGTTTTGTTTGGAATGTGTTCAGGGTAAATATGGAGATGAATGCATAGGTGATTGTTCAGATACTTGTAAGGACAACAGATGTGAGAAACAGTCTGGGCACTGCTTTGAATGTATAGAACATTTTGACGGAATGATGTGTGATTTCTGTAAACCTGGCTTTTATGGCTCGGATTGTGAAAAGATTTGTTCTCCAAATTGTATGAATGTTTCCTGTAATAACATTTCTGGTGAGTGTCATCTGGGATGTAAAGGATATTACTCTGGAGATAAGTGTTGTTTAAACAACAAGAATTGTTTATACTGTGCAAATACCACATATTGTCGTGAATGTAAATCTGGGTACTTTGGTCAAACCTGTAATCAGACATGCAGCGATCTTTGTATAAATAATGTTTGTGAGATAAATACTGGTATTTGTACAGAAGGATGTCAAGCGTCTTCACAAGATGATATATTTTGTGTTCGAAGTCAAGGTCACGGTAAGTATTTGTATTTCACTAGCACTAAATTTTAGTGATTTGTGTTTTGTTTTTCATTCTCATGTCAAACATTTAGTAGTATTTTTTAAATCGATATCATACTTTTATCGAATCTACGATATTAAAATAATCCTTTTATAGAACTTAAACTTATTCCTTTGTTACGTCTTTGCTAAAATATGAATAAAAAGATAAATAACTAAAGATATTTCTTTGTATAAATTGGCGTTAGTAAAAGCAATATTTTAATCATTAATATATGGATCTAGTTATTAGATGCATGCTTTCAGCCAATTTCACATTGTCAAGAAGACATACATAATTTTTTCTAGCAATTACCTATAGCCATTCTATTTTTTACGGAATATCTCATAGCAACCATTATCTTCACTGAATTCTTTTATTAGATACAACAAAAGACACAACAGATAATCCAGTCAGTATTGCCCCTGTCGTTGGTGGAGTTGCAGGCTCTGTTGCTGTAGTAGCTTTGGTTATTTTTGCAACATTTTGTTTTATTAAACATAGGTAAGCACTGGCATTTTTGTAAGTAGATAGACAATAATAATAACAATAGTAATTTCCAAACAACATTAACATGCTTGCTTACCATTATATAAGAGATATATTTTGCTTTTTATTGAGTATGGTTCAGTAACGTTTTGAGGTAGACCTTTGTATAACAAGGAAGTTTGTGTCTGTCACGGAAACGATGTACCCAGTTTTATTCACAAAGTATATCATATATGTACCGAGCACTTGCATGGTTTTCAATCGATGATATTGACAATACAAATTTAAGAAATGCATTGTTTATATTAAGAAGAAATTCGAACCATAATGTTGTTTGTAGAGGCTGAAACGGTTGCAATTCCCCGTTCGATAATGCTTGCTTGTATAAACCATTTTGAGATAATATCATGGCTTTTCGCTTATTTATACATCTTTAGAAAGATTTTCCACACAAACACAAAAACATAGAAAATAACCATTGGTCAATCATTGATTCTAATGCCTCGAAATATGACGTGTATGCGTGCGCATAGAAGCCAAGAAGAATGTTTGGTACACTAGAATGAACTTATACATTATCCCTCATGTACAGACTCAATCAAACCGAGTCTGCAATTCTTATGTTATTTTGTTGTGATTAATGCTTCCGAGGGATCACTTTGTTTCCAGAATTTTGTCAAGATGTCAATTTAAATGATTAGTCAAAAATATGATCAGGGTACTTCGCATGTTTAACGACACGAGAAATTAATACTTAGTTTAATTCAGATGTAGTGCGCGACCGATGTATCGTAGAGCCCTTTTTATCATTTAATTTTAGTAAGCTTTGCACTTTCCTTTATCCGAAAATAGGCAAACTGAAAAACCGGCTAATCAAGAAAGATACAACCCTGGATCAAAGAAAGAAGATCACGTTTATGAGAATTTCAAAGGTTTTATTTATTAATATGTTAGAGCCTTGATACTTTAAATATTTGAAATAAAATGTAGGATTATGTAAGATTCTTGACTGAGTTGTTTATTTTATCACTCTTTCAAACATTATAGTAAATAATTTGCCAGAAAACTTTGGAATATTTTTCCTATTAATTTGTATGTTTTCCTAAACTATTGACGTCAGGACATACTGCTGTGTTTTATCCTTATTACAATTTATTTGATTTTAGTATGCATGTATAAATAAAATTCATCAATTAACAGAAACACAACTGATTAACAATATCCAGGAGGAAGAAGATGCAAATAACTCCGGAATTGTTTCTGTTGATATTGATCACATTCATACAGATATAAAATCTGGAAACGTAACAAAGCCTAATAACGCCTATCATCCCGATGTATTAGTAGACGTATCTTACCATGATGAATCAGACGGTCCATGTGATTTAGATAGCCATAGAGTGAAAGTAAAAGATCTATTTTCGTATGTCACCAAGAGACACCCAGATTCTTTTGCAATTGAATTCATGGTAAATAAGATTTGTTTATCAGTTTATATTTTTAGTGATATTTCAAATGTGAAAATGATACATCTTCTAATTAACATCCGAAACGGCATTCTCAGTTTTTTTATTATCAATTCATTTCGTGGGAAATCCTTGAGAATAAAACTAAAAGTTTAAATATCAAAACATAGTGTAAACTATTTGACCAAAAGTAGAACGTTATGACTGGAAATTTTCAGTTAGCTCTTATATAGGTACTGACGTTTGTTTAAAAAAGAATATTTCCCTTCCCCGCCCGCAATAATTGATTCCCTTTTTATCGTCTTCTATACTATGACCGTATGAATTTGCATTTGAGATATGGCAAAACATGTGTGCATCTAAACATTTTCTCATTTTATATGTTTTGTAGCTTCTGAGAGGTAATCTTTCTCCAGATATTACATCTAAAGTTAATAATAATTTCATTGTGACTAGTGGATTAGAATAGAAATAATGTATTTACAATGAAAATGTTTACACCTTTCGAAAATGAAGTCAAACAAAGACGTGATGATATTTTCTCTATTAACACGGATTGTCTTTATTGGCCTCTTGAAATATATCTGAAAAATATCTTTCTTTTCTTCCTGGTGACATTTTTGTATAACATTTTGTTTGAGCAATTCGGTTGCATAAACTATTTAAGTGTTTTGTATGTGCTACAGCACTTCAGTAATCATATATGACAGTTCATCAACAATTGTATAAAACTCATTGTTCATAATTTGTATAGTGTTTTGTAAAATGATGAAACGTTAAAGATAACAAACACGAAGATGTTATATAGTAGCCTTAGTCTGTCATAAACCTTTTAATTTACTATCCTTATTTTGTTTATTTTTAAAACACATATTGAGATGACTATGCAAATCGTTCAATTGTTAAGATGATTTTTGTTTGTTTAAATCAGGAAAGTACATTTATATATACATTAATATTATATAGAACTACATGTGAGAACTTTAATTTGGCAATGTTGCAGAATCTCGCTGAAGATCTAGATATAACAAAACATTGCACCGATGCCATGAAACCAGAAAATATTTTCTGTAACAGGTACAACAGCTTGTATCCATGTAAGTGTTTATATAGTTTTAAGCATGACAATATATTTCCTCCAATCAAACTAAGAATCAAATAATGGTCTACAGGATATTTGATATTTGTAATATTTTACAAATAGTTCGCATTTCGTATGCCACTTAATTAAAATTGTATACATTCAAAAATAGATCTAAGACAAGAAGTATAATGATTTACATTGATATACCACGATAATTCAAGTTCTTTTAATAAACTCGTGTGAATATATTGTACACATGAACTTCAGACATCACAGTTGTCACGATTTCCTGTGATTACTTTTGTTATGTACATGTTTAGTTAACCATTGATAATAGCTTCCTCTACGAATTTTCTCCCAGATTTTTTTGAACAATTGAGCAAATAGTCACTATGAAATTATTACTTATTTGCTTTTTCTCTTATCTAAATCAATAGTGCATGTCGTAGGCTATATCAATTTCATATCAATTTCTGCGACTGATGAAAGAATTTTCTTCATAGTTTTAAATAAGAGAGAGTTGTGATCTTGTATTTTGACATCGTTCAAAATATTATGCTTCTAAAGATTCTTCTGTTACAAGTGAAATTGATACACACGCAACTCACTTATCATAAGGAAAGGATAAAAATGCTGTCAATTTAATCATAAATAGCAATATTCTAAATATATGATGTCATTTGATCTGTTTGTTGCATTTAGCGTAAATAAAAGACCGGAATGTATGCAAGGATACATACCTTAAGTCATGAGCAAATCCCACATATAAAAGCATTGCATTTTGTCATAGCCCGAATTCGGTATAACGTTGATTGGTGTACATTGATTGAAATAAATAATCAGATGCCTGGATCTTAGTAGTAATTTTAATCACGATAACTTGATAAATTAACCACATGTATTGTAAATATAGTTATTGCTTGTTGTAAACAATATTTATGTTTCAGATGATCATTCAAGGGTAAAGATAGCTGCACTGCCAAGGTTTTTCATAAATGCATGCTATATTGACGTAAGTATATTATTTAAGAAATAATATATCCAAAACAGTGATTGTATCACTCAATAACATCAATGTTTGGAGTTCGGATGCGAGGAATTATATCACGAGGGCGTAGCCCGAGTGATATAATGATGCGCATCCGAACGACAAACAGTGATGTTATCAAGCGATAAAATCACTGATTTGGATATATTATTTCGATTCTAACACGACATCAACAAATAAATGTTGCCGTACTTGATAGTTAAGCCAATTTGCGCCTTATTTGTTTCTGTACCTTTTTTCAGCGCGTCGGATGTTTAGTGGTTACGTCACGTGTGTAATGATTATGTCACATGTCTAAATATAGAACGTCAAACTGTGCATCTGTTGCATAATAACACACACTTTCTGTACTTCTATGTTCAATGGGGAAAAATGCTGTTCGTGTTAGAATAACAGTTAAAGTATGGAATGAATAATAATAACCGTATCAAATTCATCCTTTACAAACATTATAATCTTAAACAGCACTGTTAATTATCTCTGCATTGGAAAGCGATCTGAAATCAACTGGACACATTACCAAAAATATGATTTCTTTTTGTATTGTTTATTCTCCATTGGTAGAATAATTTTATCATATTACCCTTCATTTACCAACTAATGAATGGGAAATATAAACTTTCTGTTTCTTTTCTGTTTTAGATGTATTTGTATTTCAATGTGTTTATTATGATTTGTTCACAGAATCGATGCTTTTGTTTCGGCTATGTGATGGAGTGATGCAAATAGTTACGGAGAAAAAAAATTTAAACTACCATAATGATTGCTATCAATTTCACATTTGTTTTGAAGAAAAATTGTTTATTGATTATTTTACACCAAATTCAATCATTTATGGAACACCAGAGCTAACCATAGAAATACTATTAATAATTGTCTTTTTCTATGATTCCTTATATGACATTTTATGCGTTTTATCGGTCTTGTGGCGCAAATTTACTCGGCTAGTCCCTTCTTAAGGTTCAATGTGATGATTATTGAAATAATTTATATAGACTTTTCACATGAAACAAATAATTGTATGACTAACTTCATATGTGCAGCCTGTACAAGTCATATATTGTTTTCTATTTTAATATATTTTTAGGCGGGATGTTTATGGTTCCTTGCTGGTTTTCTCTATTCTATATAAGTACTGTCCATAGGAACTCTTTTGAATATAAAGTGAATTACAAGTATCGTACGAGTTTCATAGTATTAATGCTTGATATCTTTTGTTAGGGATACAAAAACAAAAAGAAGGCCTATATTGCTTCTCTAGGTAAGTATTTTAAATAGTAAATTCACATATTTGTTTGAGTTTAGACTTTATCAAATATTTATATTTAATACAAAAGATAGGTCAGTTTACGGCGTATGCTTATACTAAATTATATTGCACGAGTACACATATGTCAAACCTATATTGGAAGAGAAGCTAGCCGGGTCTGATATAGATTTTGCTAGTATGTACAAAACCAATAGATTCAGTTTTGTTCTCAACAATGGATAATAACCTCTCTTTTTTACATTTTTGACAGTTGGACAGAATTTTGTTACTGCAAGGACAATAAGGAATTGATATGATTCTTTTACCTTACAAATTAAAAAGGAGGCTAAATGCATTTGATATAGATTTATTTGGACTATGGAAATGAAAACTATGCTAAGTTGATAAGATTGGAGCCGATAATGATTTCATTTGGAATATGACGCTGTCCAAACGCTGAAAGTTGGTTATATTTTATAAGATGTGAAATAAATCCTTACATAAAGAATGACAATTGTATTATTAAGTTTAGTTAAACTTTTCATGGTCATTCAGTACGATAACAAATATATATAAAGCGAAAACAAAGTGTAGGTCATCGAGCTTGTAAATGAATTTGAACTTTCTTCTTTCTAAAGGCAAATAATTATCAATCAAAGAAAACAATTCAATATATTTATGTGTTTCTTGTAGATGACTTGGTAGTAGTTTGTATGTTTACTTCTTAAAATATTTATTTTCTTTTTAAAATATAAACCTTTGTTAAACTCATATTTTTTTGGAATGCATGGTTGACACATTTGAATATAACTTATTTGCCACTGAAATGACATATTACATCAAGATATAATCTTTATAGTAGATCTATATTCAATGGCAGAAAACTCGAAAACAAGACCCTTAATAAAATGACATAAGAGTCATCTCGCCATATCTAACATTCTTTTCAGGGCAACAATTTTATTCAGTTTTCAGAAATTAATTATTTTACCGTATTTCATTTTAGAAAACTTTAAACATCAGTAATTTCTTTTCTATTGCATTATATCAATCATTTTATTGTGATATTACTATAATCATCCGAAAACATCTCGGGTATGTGTACGTGCAGGGAATAAATTGTTTTAATGAAAAAATCATAATTTGCAAACACATTTAATGACAATATCTCTTTTTTCACCTGTGCGAAAATTACTTATTTCACGAGGAAGTAAATGTAGTTAACATTATTGCATCCAATAAAACTCTTCAATTTGTATACCTTTCTATTCATTTCTTTACATTAGCTATAGATCTTTTGAAAATATAAATGTCATTTCGGTACGGTGTTACATAAATGTTTTACTTATGTAAAACTAATTATGTTTATTTTGACAAACCCGGTAACATTTACACGAAACTTTATTTTTTGAACGATACAATACCCTATACAATCAAGGTATTTTCGTCTTTTATAAAATATCATATTATTAGATCAGATCTGTCTGTGCATTGTTTGAATGTAAAAGACGAGACACTGACGAGGACATAAAAAGGACTTGCTAACAAGAAAGGAAGTTTTTTAATCAAACACGTTAACCCTTTAATGTCGTTTAAACTGACATAAACAAAAGAAAAATTAATACAACTTAAAATGACAACTTCTTCTATTTTTGCATGTGTTTATTCTATTAACTGTAATACTCTATATAAAAAGGTCCGACGTCAAAAACCACGGATAAATTCTCCAATTTCTGGCTGATGGTTTGGCACGAGAGGTCTGAGATCATTGTAATGTTGACTAATCTCAGAGAGGTCTCGGTAAGTCTATATGATTTAGTACCCAACATTTCCTGATCTTTACAAAGGAAAGGTTTCGAAATGATATGCTGATCAAATCTCACTTTTACCTTTCCTAAGAGGTTTTTAAGGCTCGAAATTTCTTAATATCATGGGAACAGTTTGAATAAGTTTACACTTTAAAGCTTGTGATTGAATTTCAGAATCCGCGTAAAAAGAGAAGAAACGGAATTCCACCAAAACGCCCGAAACGGCATAATTAAAACTGTTACAGTCTCAGTTTGTTTCAGCCAATTCATGGACGACTGTGATAAATGCCAGCTACCGTTCATTTAACATTTATACATGATTACATTTTCTAAAAACATTTTTTGTTTTTCGATGTAAATAATCGCTAAAGGCAGTTTACGTCAATCTGCCATTAGTAAAAGTAATTTAAGGTCCTGGAATATTAAGCATGGATGATAGATCCTAACCAAACGATGCTTTATTATTTATGATGCTATAATGTAACTCACATAACATTGAATATGAACAGAATAAAAGGCTATTTTTGTTAAATGTAAAACTCTTTTATCATTTTAATTTTATGATACCAAACCATCACTAGTGCCTTCATTTTTTCCCTATAAGTTCTTTAGTCATACGTTACGATACTGTTAACGCATTTGCTACCTGTAGAAATTTAGTATGACCTGTTTCTGTATTGTAAGGGTATGAAATGTGAGAAGTATTGGCCAAACTCGGATGAAGAGCAACTGTATGGACAGATTACAGTAAAATGTCGGAGTGTTGAAGAGTTTGCAGAATACACTGTTAGAACATTCACCATTTCGAAGGTAATTAAATGGAAAAAAAACCTTAAAAATAAATGACGATGTATCCATGGGGTAAACAATAGCACATTTACTGTCATTGAGATTTTTACTGAACAATAACGTGATTCATTCACAAAACAAAAAATAAAAACATGAAGTAAAATGAGTAAACTGATGCAGATTTGATATTTTTCCTTGTTCTTTGTTTTAGACATAAAAAAACTTTGTTCAAATTATAAGTTTCTGTTCTGATTACAATTATTTTGGGAAAATATTTTACTACATTCCTTGTCATTACTCATATACTGTGCAGGTATCCTTAATAAATAACAAAGATACCGGCAAAACCTGGCCTTTAGAAATGCACCAGATATTAAAAATATTTAAGGCAAAGGTCTCGTTATGTTAACTGTATAAATAACATTTCTAGAGATTTATAGTAATAAAATGAAAGAAAAAAGAAACATCAAATCAATAATTGAGATATAGGTTAGGGGCGAAAAACGTGTATTGATAGTTTTTAATATCTGATTTGATTATTTTCCTTTAGATGAGTTGTTATAAATGTAAGATATCAGTTAGGTCAAATTAACAACACGAAAATATGCAGTTTTTCCCTAGCAACAAGAAAAATTAAATCACTTACGTATAAAACATTTTTATTCTCTTACATTTTCATTTAGTCTTAGGGTATTTTTAATCCTTTAACATTTTTTATTTTAGACTATTAGGATACAACAGCAGTCAAATGTTTTCTAATCTTTCGACTTTTTTCAAACTACACATGCATATTTTTGTAAAATAAAGTTCTAAAAAAGTTAAATGTACTCTCTTTACTAATTCATAAGCAAACTTGTCTTTGTTCATAAGAAAAAAGAAGAGAGAAATGTGGTACATCTACACTATACAGCCTGGCCGGATAAAGGTGTTCCCCAGGAGGTGACAAGTCTTGTAGAGTTCAGACAGAGGGTGAAGTCAGTTCCTGTTACATTAGGAGGTCCGGTTATAGCCCACTGCAGGTATTATAGTAGCATATTGGTTAATTTGTGTAGATTGCTGTTCTGAAATGTTGATCAGATAATGAACATATGATAGTGTTATATTAACATAACTTTCTCACTTTTATTAGTCCCCTACCGGTTTACCGGAGGGGACTTTAGGTTTACCCTCCGTCCGTCTGTCCGTCCGTCTGTCCGTCTGTCCGTCCGTCCGTCTGTCTGTCAGTCCGTCAGTCCGTCCGTCCACAAAACTGGATCCCGCGATAACTTGAAAAGTACTGAAAATATTTTTATGAAACTTGGTATATGGATAGATGGCAGTATGGAGATTATGCACGTCTTTTTCTTTTCTTCCTATGTTGAAAATTCTGGTTGCTATGGCAACAAATAGGCTAAAAATATGGCAAATTTTACACATTAACTGGATCCAGTGATAACGCAAAAAGTACTGGAAACTTTTTATGAAACTTGACATATGGGTAGATGGCAGTCTTGGAATTATGCACGTCTTTTTCTTTTCTTCCTATGTTGAAAATTCTGGTTGCTATGGCAACAAATAGGCTGAAAATATGGCAAATTTTACACATAAACTGGATCCAGTGATAAAGCAAAAAGTCCTGGAAATATTTTTATGAAACTTGACATATGGGTAGATGGCAGTGTTGAGATTATGCACGTCTTTTTCTTTTCTTCCTATGTTGAAAATTCTGGTTGCTATGGCAAACACATAGACTGAAAATATGGCAAATTTTACACATAAACTGAATCCAGTGATATCTCAAAAAGTACTGGAAATATTTTTATGAAACTTGACATATGGGTAGATAGCAGTGTTGAGATTATGCATGTCTTATCTGTTCATCCTATTTTGAAAAAATATCAGTTGCCTTGGCAACAAATAGGCTTAAAACATGGCAAATATAACAATATTTGTGATAAGTCAAAAAGAGCTGAAAATTTTTATGAAATTGCATCTTTAATTCAAGAGTTATCTCCTCCTGCTTTTAAAATGTTATATTTTGGTAACAGGGATGTTTCAAATATTAACTTTAGAGTGTCCTTCAGTCCGTCTGTCTGTCTGTTCATAAAAACTGTTTCCTGTGATCACTTTTAAAGAACTTTTCCAACAAGTTTACTTAAAATAGAGAAAAATTGAAACATAAGTGAATGGCCAATGGCCCTTCAGAATGTTGATGGGGTTCTTACCGGTAGGGGACTTGCAATACTATGATAATTGCTTGTTGGTATTGGCTAACCAATTCATTTAACTTCAATAAATAGTGACTGCAGTCAGAACAGGGAAGCTTAATAGTATTTAAATAGTTTTGGAATGTAAAATGGCAGTAAGATAATAAGTATGTTGATCTTTTAAACATAATTATAGTAAACTATCCAATAAGAACAAATCCTATTTATAAAAATAGCTATTTCTAAATTTTTTTTAGATAATACACTGGTAACTCACTGTGCAAGATTTGTTAAAATATATTGTTTTGTCCACATTTCCTGCATCTCTGTTAATGTTTTTCATTTAAAATAAGTTACTAAATCTGATTTTGCTTATAAATAAACAGAATAACATCGCTTCATATAAGAAGAAATATTTCATTTTGGGTTTTCCTGCAAATCTATCAATGCAATGTATTTGATGTTTTAAATAATGTTGTTTCAACATATTATCAAAGTGCTGGTGTGGGGAGGACCGGCACATACATTGCTTTAGACATACTAACGGAGGAAGGCAAGGATTTAGGCTCCGTTGATGTGTTTAATTGCGTCAACAAAATGCGAGGACAAAGGGTGAACATGGTACAAACAGGTGTAAGTATCATATTATTGTACGTGTGTCTGAAAAGTTGCTTAAAATAATCATAGTAGACAACACATTGAAGCTTATGTTGTAATATGTGTGTCAAATTAAAATGTCAAAGTATGAACTACAGTTTTACTTTCAAGTAGGTGCTGGAGTGGATATGTAGAGATGTAATATTTGATTCAATGTGTATTTATGGGACATTGTAAGTTTTATCTTTTATCAGTTGCAGACAGTTTATATTATCGTTTTAATAAAGTTTTATTTTGATACCACGTATATGTTGTATGTATTCAGTTTAGTTTTGTCCATTATGATTCACTCATAGATTTATATACTTATATAAAGTAAAGAAACATATTACTTGATTAACAGGAGCAGTACATGTTTCTCCACAAAGCTCTTGTACATTCACTTACATTTGATTGTGAAACTCTTACTGCAGAGGCAATTCAGGCAATAGTGTATGAAGCAGATGAACAAAAGTTCACAGATATGTACCAGGCAAGAACATTTATTAACATTATTTACATATCATTGCTGTCGGGAAATTAATTTCACCGTAAGAAGTCTATAAATATTAATTTTGTGTTTGGTTTCTGCCACGAGATATCTAAATTTACTTAGTATTTGAAGTCAAATGAGAATGCGTTCATATGAAAAAAAGGTTTGACCGTGCACAGCCTTTCAGAAAGAAATCTATCTCTAAAGCTTTAAAATATGATAAACAAGATCAACAAGGAAAGGCGATCCAGCAACAAAAGCCAGTGGCAAGAAGCCCAGGAGAATCCCAACCAAAAACAGGACAGGGCACAAAAAACATACATAAGAAGAAAAAATTAGTAACTGATAAGGAACTCAAAGAAAACAAATAATAGGCCCAAAAAGTCAAAGGGCACAGGGGAAGGGGACAGGAGACCAGAGAAGGACGGGGGGGGGGGGGGGGGTAAATTAAGAAAGAAAACTAGGGGCAAAGGGAAAGATACTTACCGTAGACGAAAAAACAACAAGGGACACAAAAGTGTCACCAAAACAGTATGAAACAACAAAGACATACTTCTGAGGAACACAGGAAACCTTAAAAATCCGTCACTCTGCTTCGTCATTTTTACTACTCTTAAAAGCGGTCAATGTTTATGAAATTACTGTAGAATGGTAAATAAGTACAGCTTTTATTTGACAATCTTGTAGATTCTACAGCGAGAGGTAGACACAGAATGTCAGGATGATTTAGATGATCGTGAAGAAAATAGAAAACGCCATAACAACAAAAATAGAAGACATTCTGAGATTCCTGGTACATATTTTGTGTCTTTTCGTCTAACTATGTACAGATTTCAAAGCACTAATTCATTAATTTCACTTTTTTACTTCTGAGTTGCAGAATGTTTTCTGACATACCCTTGAAAAGTTTAAAATGTAAAAAAAATGCCAAGTTATAATGTTATATGGTGTTAACAGAAAACAACTCAGAAGGTTTGGTTTGTATTTATTAACTTTTAACATATTTCATTAAATCATTTAAGATACTAGTAATAAATGTGTAACGATGGTGCATGATCTGAAAAACAAAACTGGCATAAAAACCAGAAAACAGAAACAAATACAACAAAATCGCTAAAATTGGATTGGCTAAAATTAAATTACTGCCAAAACCGCGAAATTTTCTGTACGCAAAAATATCCTGCTTTACGGTATTTGAACAGTTGAAATATTTTTTTCAGAAAGAGATCGTCACCGTTTTCTTAGTTTATTGTATTGATGACACCATATCATACACCATATTATACAAATTATAGTAAAATACATAGTAAAATGTTTATAAGTTTCGTTGCTTTGACACACCATTTCAGATAATGACACAAAAGAACAATTTTTAAAATATTTTTAATACTGTTGATCATTATTTTTAAGCCAATCGCAGTAGAGTTAGACTGTTTGTTGCAAGGTCGCACCACTCAAGCCATGACTACATAAATGCCGTGTTTATAAGCGTGAGTAAAATACAAACTGATATAACACTATTTTATACTTTATAAAATGAGTTTATCTAGTTTTGTTGTTGTTATAAATTGCGTATATAACAGCAATAAATGCATTCGTTTTCTATTAAAATGTGGAAATGTTTTTGAAAATTATCTTAGATGTTATTAAGAGAACCTACATAGGTCAGAGTTTCAAAACCAAAAATTCATAATTATAGAAATACATGCAGTGTTGGAAAATTTGTGATCAAACAAATGACGTTTTAATTTGAAATATGTTTCAGAGTTTCAAGACCAAAAACTTTTTTATTGCTGCACAATCTCCACTAGCAGGAACTATTGAAGATTTTGTCTGTATGATATATCAACAGAACTGCGCATGTGTAATTGCACTGGATCAGCCGTTTAAACAGGGCGATGTATATAAGTTGATTTTAACAATCACTCAATAGTTTTCATTATAGTAAATAATACAAAATCAACTCGTACATATATTAAGTATCATTCAGTGCATTTATAGAAAAAATCCATTTTTGATAATCGCAAAAAGAAGTAATCGAACGTTAAATATTTAATCATACAGAATGTGCGTCAATTTATCGTAACTCATTCTTCATCTTAAATCTTTTATGTTGTTTTGAGTTAATGCTTACCATTTTAACATTGTTTCAATGTAAGATGTTTTGACTTGTTTCAATTTAAGTATTTTATATGTTTAACTAACCTCTGAAATATGTGATCAATTCATAGAATTGTTTAATTCTTTTTCATTTAAGAGTTTATATCTCGTTTGTGCTTTTACTCTTAATTTTGTTGTTGACAAGCTGGTACATTACCATGTATTACATGTCAGAATGATGGCCAATATATCCCAGCTGACAACAAGACATTCATGGGTGGAAACTTTACTGTAACAAGCTCGAAATGTGAAAATAAACAGCAGTTTGTTGTCAAAAAACTGACCATTACACATACAAATCAGGTACATAGGGATTATAAAGAATTGTTTCATGTGATGTTGTCTATTATTCTGCGAAAGTCTTTAACATCTTTATCATTTTCCTTCTAGTGTACACACGTCATATTTCATACAAAAATATACAAACACCATGAAATATAACAAGGAAGGTGATGTTCAATGATAATATTTATGTAGGATCTTAATCAAGGGGAATGACGTATAGTGGTTGCACACCTGGTTCAATAAATAAATTCATTTATTAATAAATCAACTAGTTAACTATAATTTAAGAAAAAAGTAGAAAAACTGATCAGAGTAGTCACTTGTCAAATCTCAAAATATCTACATGATCAGGTGAGTTTTCAATAACTTCGTCAAATCAGAAACTAGGAAAAAAGCTTAAACCTAAAACCAAGTGTGTCATAATCATTGCTTTAATGAATAGAAAAACTTTAAAAAAAATCAAAATGTTATAATAATTTTCCTGGACAAAATACGTTTAAAAATTCCATGACTATGTCTATGAGCCAATATGTAAGGTTTGCAACAATTTCGCTACCTTGAACCGAGTGTGCTTCCACTTCACGTCCTGTTCCTCGGTGATTTTTTGAAAATAATACAATATTTCCATTCACTGTTTGTAAAAGCAATATTGATTTAAGACCAAACGTCCGGTATCAAAATATATGATACAAGTGAACGTATTAACGGTTTGCATTTTTAGAAACAATTTAAAGTGGTTAAACATATGATTGCATATTTTCATATTGATTGATATCAATATTTTGAATTGGATATCTGAACTATTTATTGTTACAGTATATCTTTATTTGCTTGTCATGTTTTTCAGAGTGAAGTGAAAACAGTTTATCATTTCCAATATAAGAAATGGGCGGAATCTAACACTGTTCCTGACACTGTTGAAGACTTTGTTCATTTTATCAAAGATGTTGAAAAACGTGTAAATCATCATACAGATAACAATACACATGTAGTTGTTCACTGCTTGTAAGTTAAAAACAATTCTGTCCTTACTTTCCCTATATTGTTATTTCAACATTGCAGGTGAAATCGCTATTATCAGGAATATGAAGTGAAAACTTTTTTTGAAAAAGAAAAAGAAAAAAAGAATGTGTGTGTTTTAGAAACTCATTGGTTGTCAGCTATTAAGTTTGCAATTTTATTAAAATTGTAAGATATAAATGCTGTAAAACTGTCTTACTTTTTTTCTTGTTCAAGAATCAGTGAAACAATATTTATGATGAAATGCTTTAGCCGTCCCAGAACTATCTTACATACTGAGATTTAAAATGTTAAATGTTCTACATAAACAAATGAGATGCACACATTATTTACAGCGATTTGTTATCTATGTCCGATAAAACAACACTGGTAGTGATATTTCTTTCACAATCATGAGGTTTAAAATTCACAATTTGTAATTTTGCTTAGGTTTTAGACGATAGCTTACATTTGCATAAGGTTGACATAAACAGACTTTATGACAATTTTTTCTTGCAAGACAACAATAAGTTTTCCAATTATCATTATTCTTCTAAGGTAAATAGATACTTAACAGATTAGAAATGTAAATGATATTTTATAGACAGTACATAATTAAGCTATATATACAATTATAAATAATATTATTTGTTTCAATGATAAAGGACTGGGTATGAGAGATCTGGGTTATTTTGTACCTTGTATTCACTCCTTGAGAAGTTAGAGGCTGAGCGACAAGTCAGTGTAGTTAATATGATAAGAAAAATCAGGACACACCGCCGACAAGCTATAACAGGGGTGGTAAGATTGTTTTATTTCTTAGAGCAGAATAATCAATTATATTAACTCTAAATGACAATGCTGATTAAATGAATAAATGAATACTCTTCTGATATATTATTTCAATGGCTAGCATGCATTGGACATCTTTCCTTTTACTATTGGCCATATTCTTCACTTTGCAAATGTTAAATTGGCCAAAGGCATGCTATTATGCCGATTTGCTGAATAAACTGAACTGTTGTCTAGAAAACAGATCAGTGATTGAATAAACAGCTATAAGATAAATCCAAAATACGACAAGCAAATTACAGATACACTGTAGCTTTGATCTTTTTTACCTTTGATTTTCTTCTACTTAAAATTCATTTCATTACTTGAATATACAAACTACTTCACAATAGAAGCTAAAAGCTACAATGATAAGCACGTTAATAATTTTTGTTTGCGCAGCGACTGGCTGCGTTTTTTTCCCGTGGTTAAACAAAAAGTGTATTTTTTCCGAAACATATTTTAAATACGATGAAAAGGGCCTCACTTGCATGGAATTTTCCAAATTATATGTATTGCTTCTTACTTGTGGGAAAGCAAACCTTTCTTGAGTGCAACAGTTCCATTGTATACATGTATGCCACTGATGTCATATTTCTATTTCAGGAGCAACTGAAGTTCTGTTTCCGGTGTGTATCTGCCTATTTAGAGATATATAATACATACTCAAACTTCGCTACATGATTGTTTCTGATGAATATCTGCCCATTTAGAGATATATAACATGTAATCAAACTACGCTACATGATTGTTTCTGGAGAATATTTGCCTTTTTAGAGATATATAACACATACTCAAACTTCGCTACATGATTGTTTCTGATGTATATCTGCCCATTTAGAGATATATAACATGTACTCAAGCTACGCTACATGATTGTTTCTGATGTATATCTGCCCAGTAAGAGATATATAACATTGACTCAAACAATGCTACATGACTGATTCTGGTTTATATGCTTACAGAGATATATTAATCATACCATACTGCGCTACATGACTGTTTCCAGTGTAAATATGTATATAAAAATACAAACACACGCCGCATGGTAGTTGTCGGTATATACCATGTGTATGTATATAATAGAAATGTATGTAAAATCGATACTTATAGAGTACACTATATGACTGTCTCTTGCATATATTTGCTTACAAATAGAGTTGTATTTCACAAACTCAAACTATGCAACAAACAAAGTCTAAGAACGTGTGAAATAGACTTAATTTGTAATGCATGCAATATCATTTTGAATTGCAAAGATAAAAATGATCCAACGGAATGAAAATATATATTATTGTAAACGGAACTACTTTACTAACACAACCGCCTCCTTGGTCGAGGGGTTAGACTCGATGACTTCTAATCCAGTTACCTCTCTGGCGTGGGTTCGATCCCCGGGAGATACTTTGGTAGTTTAGCGCGGAAGAAGGTAGTCTAGTACTGGTGTAACTCTCCAGGAACGATAGTTAGGAAACTACCCGCCATTATATGACTTAAATACTGTTGGAAAAGGCGTAAAATGAAACAAACAAACAAACAAAACTTTAGTAACAATACCATATTATAGTTAAATAACATATAGTTTAGTGTTAAAATTACTATTTAAAGAGTCATTGTTGAAATACATTCATGGCTATTATGGATTATATTACAAAGGATAACTCACATAACGGATAGGTAACAAAACGGATTACTCACTGTATATATTTTAGCTTGATGTGTCAAGATAAACATCATCAAGATACTTTTATAATAATCTTATTGTAATTCATTTTGATTATGTATATTTATTGGCTGTAGTTTATCATCAAGTTATATTCCTTCTAACACTCGTATTTAAGTTGTTATATTTCTATTCGATGTGATTTGTTAATAAATATTATCACTTTAATATACGTAGTTTTTTGTATACATTCTATTTATGCATGTTTATACATGTATAAAGTTTTTCATTATATTTTAAGTTATTCATTTGTGTTGTGCATGGTATTGGTAAAAAATCCCAAATTTTATCAAACAGGAATGAGAATGTATATTTTTTGTTTGATTTTACCCTTAACTGTAAACATTTTGTAGTAAGATAAAGTTCACTTATAAATATACTAGGAAGAAGGATTAAGACGTGAAGCAAATTCCCACCCTTGAGTCTTTTCCTAACTTAGTTCAATGTTGGTGGTTCTTTATTGTTGGATTTTATCAGCGGTTGTGTTCATTGTATGCCGCTCTTCCTTTCTTCTACCTAGTGTTTGCTGTGCTCATAATTATTATCTGAATAGCCACGGTTTCAGTTTGGATGTTTTATCAAACATGAGATTGAATAATGCAACGTTTGTAGACTTATGTAGTGTACTATGTAATATGCATATACTAATGATGGTTCATATTATTTTTAGTTTTGCTTTTAAGATGCATTTAGAGTTTATAACATGTTGAGAGGGGGTCTATCAAATCGCTTATAATCCCATAGGATGATATATGGTGGTTCGACTTTTCTTTGTGTTTAGCAGATGACAGAGTTCTTGAATATTATCTGACCTTGCTTTGAGTGTAATTTGGTTAGAATACATGCACCGTTTCAGTGTCTGCCTTAACTTATCATGGATACGCCACAGAGACGTACGTTGAAAGTTAAAAATACAACATTATAAGTATAAGTACCTTATACAAACACTGATTTTGTTAAAAAATCTCAGTTTTCGAGTGGCACAGATATTAAAGATAGGAAGGTATGGAACGCCGTGACTGTCTTATATGATCAATGTTTTTGCTATCTTGTGAAACGATGATATCATTTTGTCGTTTGGTCATGTTAAAATGTGCATTTTACATAATTTCTTGTCAAAGGATCATTCTGACTCGTTCAAACAGCATGGTGTTCCAAAGGTAGACAAATCTTGAAAAAAAATGATACATTCGTTAGCATGATAGAAGAATGCGCATGGCGTTGAAGTTCTCTGCCGCTGAGGCGGAAATGTGCGATCGTATTTGCCTGTTGATGGGATTTTTATTTTACTAAATGTAATACTAGTATAATGTCAGGTGTGTTTTAGTTATGGATTAGATATACCAATTTGACAACTTATTCTTAAAATTAAAAAAAAGAATCCAAGGAAACATTTATTTCAACCTTGGGAATAATAAGCTACGATAAATGCAGACTTCTAAAGGTAGGTAATTTTATTTTCGTACATATGGTTTTTGCTTAACATTTAATTATATCAGGCACATTTTATATTTGCGTAATTTGAATGTACCGGGTAATTCTGGAAACACCTGGAGTATTTATTTCCAGTTTTTTCTATGGATAATGTATTGAATAAATCATTCACCAATAGTGTGATCATTCACATCATTACTACAATGACAATAGACATCGTGTGTCTTTTATTTCATAATGAGTAATGTTTGTTTGCCATCCATTTATTTGCTCTATTTAAATGCATACACATGTTAAATAACGTTTGACAAAAGAGTGTCCCTGCTTTATTTATATAGGAAACATAATTAAAAATCTATTTTTAATTAAGTATAAACATTAATACTTTTGGCAGGTTATAAATAATTGATATACAGTTATAACAATGAATAAAAATAAATCCGCCTGTAAAAACGCATGCATAAAGTAAGTCTTGCAATCAATTGAAACTAGAAAAATATTACATACATTCGTATGCAATATAGGTACGATTGCATACTAACTTCTGTAAAGAAGTTTTATGCTTGCTGCATGAAAGGTGTTATGTAAAATGAACAAACATGTCATCAGATATTTTATATCTTTAAAGATTTTCATGGAAAGCTACATACCACGGATTTATATTATATATAATTCCGTGAATAAATGTATCATAATATTAAAGTTGTATGCCTTCAGATGAGAAAAATGATTTCAAGAAAAGAACAATGCACGAACAATTTAATGTTTTAAAACATAAACACAAAAATACACTTCTTCCACTGAATAGACCAAATGAAAATCTTGCAAACCCACAGAAATAGAAATATAAACAATAACATCCCGTTTTTGCTCGAGTATTTCTTTGTTTTCTGAACTCGTAAATCTGGTCACCAGTTTATAAAAAAAACATAGCTTACGGACACGATCATTTTTCTTCTTGTTATCTTACAGAGCATTAATTCTAATATATGAAAGGTAGAATTTCATTGAAAATCATAGTCACAGGTTTGAATAATTATTATGTATCTACAAAAAAACATCCTTATTTGTTATCAAACAATCCAATAAAACCCAAAAGATACGGTTTGTAAATATTTATTACAAAGAGATATAAAAAGGTATTTCCTATCCTATACGACGCGACCATGTTAGCTTTATTTATAATTCCCGCGTTAAGTCGCGGTGGAGCCAATCACGTGATACTGTAACGACAGCCATTTCACGATACGAAAATGCCTGGCCCTTCTCGGACAGTTTCTTATGCCGAAAATATAATATGAAATTAATACTTGCAATTCAAAGTTTGTTTGCTACATAAAGATTATCGATTTACTAATTGCAAACCTTTTCTCTGCCCGACTATGTTGATGTTTTATCATTGGCTGAAACCATCACGTAATCAATACACATTAAGGTATGAACTACTTTCATGGTCATTAAAATTATGCATTTAATCGGACATATAACGATCTTTTTTTTATAAATAATTTGATAAAACAATCCCATAATCATTTTAAATAATTGAAATCATTGAGCAACAATAAATGCATATAAATTGTAGATTTCTGTAATATGACAACTCACCCCCTAAACAAAACATAATAGACTCACTCAAAAACAAGCGTCTGCTTCTTTACCTTATTATGTAGTTGCATGACCATGAGTGAGTGAGTAAGTAAGTAAGTAAGTAAGTAAGTATAAGTAAGTATAAGTAAGTATTAGTAAGTATAAGTTAGTAAGTAAGTAAGTATGAGTAAGTAAGTAAGTAAGCAAGTAAGTTAGTAAGCAAGTATAAGTAAGTAAGTAAGTAAGTAAGTAAGTAAGTAAGTAAGTAAGTAAGTAAGTAAGAAAGTAAGTAGGTAAGTACATTGTGTATTATAGTGTATTATAGTGGCATTGTGCATATATAAATTTCACATACATAATAAGAATACATACAAAGACACCCGGTCCATTGGACTTATAAGTCACTTTATTATATAAATACAAATATACAAACTGTGAACAATACATAGCTTTCAAAATGGAATATTTAAATCAGATCATAGTTGCTGCTCGACCTGTAAATCGCAGTATCACAATTTAGCGAACGGACAGTCAATGTATCATCATGTTTTATTATTGGCACGTTAAAAGTCAATTACCTATTATACAGCAAATATCTCCTTAACATATAGGGTTTAACAAGAAATCTTGTTATTTTATTCTGGTGATTTTTAATAAGAAATACTAATTTTTCTGTATTTGTCATGTTGTTATATGCATCATTTGTAATAATGTCATTAAATGTCATTGATCTTATATCATTATATACCAGACACACAATTAAGAAATGAGTTTCATCTCGACTTAATCCTGATTGGCATATAGTATAGTGTCTTTGATTTGGCGCTTCTCCTTCATATCTTCCGGTTTCTACACGCAAGGGCAGAATGCCACACCGAAACTGTGCATAGATTGAACGTTCATTTCTTTTAAGATTGACTGACAAAGAGCTTTCACATGAAAACGCGGTCTTTAATGTTTTGTAAGTCCTTAATTTAGACACCTTTTCATAGTCGATTGCCCATGTATTTGCATAATACTCGAAATTTTTAATTTAATATAATCCATATTCACTGTTAATTTATTGTCAAAGTGGTTGGATAAGTCTAACTTGTATCAGTGTTTGGGGACCTTTCTGTTGAAAATGTGTCAGAGTTAAATCGTATACATATACATGCACAGTGCGTTAACTGGAGTGCAGGTATCAGTTACCCGCACTGCAGAGCATGCCCATTGATTGGTTCATTTTGTCTGGCGTTTACATATTGTGACGACGGGGAAAGGGAAAGCGATAGAAAAATCATATTCAGATGCTCATTCATTGGTTCCTTTTTTCTGGGGTTTCATATTGTGACATCAGGGAACGTGTTTTTATTTTTGACTATGATACAAAAGAGAAGAGAACATCAAAACACTCGGCAATCTGATTGATACTCGGGGGCTACGCCCCCTCGTACAAATCAGATAGCCTCGTGTTTCGATGCTCTTTCTATTACTTAGACATAATGGTTTTCACTTCATTGCACCAGTTACTTGTTGCGCTTGAGTTATCGTAATCCATATTAAACACTCGTTTTGTAATCCTTTCATCACTTAATTTCACCTGTCTATTCTAATACCGGACAATACAAATCCATCTTCTATAGACACACGGTATCCAACCTGTTTCTCCCAAGAGTGCTAATTTTGATGTAAATCTGTGAACGCCTAAGAAGTAGCAAATTGCACGATGTTGTACGTTGTCCGCCGCTTGAAAATGTGTGAAGCCTAAAACGGAAGCACTGTAATCTAAAATAGGGATAACACATGAAGAATATAATTTTTCAAATGTTTTAAATCCGCAAGGGTTTAGACCATATACTTTTGAAATAAGGCTGCCAAGAGCCCGTCCTGTGCTTTTTGAGAGCGTTTCACAATTGTAGCTAAAGTTGTATTTTTCATGGAAAATAATACCAAGGCATTTATATTTGTCGACGGTTTCAAGATAATTGACTCCGATTTTGAACTGATAATCACTACATGGCATTCGTCCTTTCCGGAAGTGTATTACCTTGGATTTTTTCGCAGTTAATCTCTAACGCTCGCATCAACATTCTTCAGTCAGA